AACCTCATTTCCTCAGATGGGGGATCGATGAAAGCAGCGTCTCTATGAGGAACTTCACATGAGGTTTGTGTTACCCATGTTATTTTTGGCCTTATGTTTTCTTAATAGAAGTCATCTTCTCGCTCGGCATCTCTTTGTTCTTGGTATTCTTTGTATTCGCTAACATATTCCGCAGGTAAAATTGATATTACCCCGATTTGATGTTCATTCCAAGTACCATCATTCTTGTCATCGAAAAATTCTCTTGCATAATGACTTTCTATCGGTGCAACATTTTCTTCAAAGTTTCTGTAATTATTCCAATAGGGGATCCTTCCTCCTCTTCTCCAGGGCCTTCCTCGGAATCTTCTTTGGAATGTTGGAAATCTAGTGGTCGATCCATCATCATACGAGAGTCTTTCGAAGACATCATTACTTTGAAGTCTACCTCTTCCTCCTCGAGAAGGATACATCTCTCTTCTAATCCATTGCCTCTGATTTTCACTAACACCAGAGCCCACGGATTTCTGCTGACTTTCTTCGATCGTTGGTCGGACTGTTTGATCTACTTTGTCATTTTTCCTTTTATTTTGGTTTTCGATCTTCTTCATCTGTTCTGTTCTGAAAGCTTTGGCAGCCGATTTATCGAACACTGCACTGCAACGTGGGCATAATGACACATCTTCATCTTTTTCCTTCTTTCTATTCAAAAATTCAATGAGAGAATCTCCTGATCGAGGGTATATTTCCTTTTCGAACTCTTTCTCGAATTCACTCAGGTCAAATTCCATGTCTTCCTCAGATACATCCATCCTGACATGCTTAGGATCGATGTCTTCAGTGACATCTACCATGCCTATAAAGGCCGAATTTGTTAATCGGACATCATCAGTAATGCCCGTTTGGGATTCGAGGTATCCTACTTGAGCCTCGAACGGACTCGTGTCAACTTTCATTGTCATTTCTTCGAACCTCAACCTTCCTTGGTCGATCGCATCTTGGATTGTGTTCCTGAAATGTATACAATTGTTAGTCTAATGTCCATAAACATTATGAAATTTGCAATATTTTCGACCATTCCTTTGTTCTGCAGACGGCAGTTTATGATCATCACTCAACTTAATATGTTTGTCTTTCAATAAAATATCAAAGATTTTGTCTGCTTTTGTTACATCAAAAGTATATGTTCGATTTGCCATTTTATCTTTTACTTCATTTTTTTGTAGCAATTTACAAGTATATGGAGTCCCTACTTTGAGTTCTGCTATGTTTACTTTCTCATCGACAGTTTCTTCAATATCATTTTCTGTCATGTTATCTGTCTCATATACATAATTTATGTATGTTATTCTTTCCTTTTTCAAAGGTTTCTCATATTTCTTATACCTTTGTTTCTCATACTCTATTTGTTCCACTCTTCTCACTTTATCAGCTAATTGAGCCATGTCATTCAATGGTAAATTGACTAGTTTTTTCCTAATCGAGAATTCTAAACCTGCAGAGGCCATTCTGACTAATTCATATTCAGGAATTTGAGTAAAGCATCTTGATTTCATTTGTCTGAATCGATTCAAATAATCATCTATACTTTCATGATTGTATCGTTTTATGTTCATCAAATCAATTAGACTTACTTGAGTCTCTCCTCTAAAGAATTGTTCATGAAAATTTCTCTCTAACTGCAACCAATTATATATCGAATTGGGCGGTAACGAAGTGAACCAAGTAAAAGCATTCTTAGTCAAAGAACTAGGAAAATATTTCATCTTTAATTCTTTACTCATCGCTAAATCCACGCATTCGATCTGATATCGAGCCACATGCTCGATAGTCGATTCACCAACTTCTCCAGCAAATTTAGTGAATTTGGGTACTTTATATCCTCGAGGCAGTTCTGTCTCGAGAATCGCATTCGGAAAGGGAGACACGAAATATGTCTGATTGGGTGGTCTAAATTCCATCCCTTGTAAATTCATCCTTTGTCCTAACATGTTATTTTGATTGTGTATATTTTGAAATCCTTCGTTCAAATTCCCATAAAGGTCATTCCTCACATGTTGGTACTCATTTCCCCTATGCTGATGTTGATCATTGTTTCTATTCCTCCTCAATAGATACGGGGGATTATTAGTAGCATGATTTTCTACCCTCGTTTGTCGAGGTATAGCCAATGCATCCCCGATTCGTGACATTTGGTCCGCTAATATCTCAAAACTAGCAGTAGTGTTTTGAACTAATGGATTTAGAACTGTAGTCAACTGTTGTGATAACATATTCACCATCTCAAAATTACTCTCATCCATTTGTTGTCTAAGTATTCCTAAGGAGTTACTAGATATGCCAGTACCAGTATTTTCGATAGTATCAAAATTAGATCGATGATAATCCCTATCGAACGCATATCTCCCATGATCTACGTTTCCTCTATGATCTAGATTTGGAGGTATTTGCTGCGTTCCTACATTCTGCACACTCCCTGAGTTCTGGGGAATTACTAAATTTTGAGATGTTCCTAGGTTAGGAGATACTCCAAAATTCTGTGGCATACCTAGGGTTTGGAATGTTCCTAAGTTACATCTCGAATTTCGTTGCATCGAAGAAGTACCCACCCCATTCATGTTAAGCGAAAACCCAGGTGGTCTTATACTCATGTACGGTCCCGCATTTGTTGTCACAGGGTTTCCCATAGTTGGTATACTGTTTAGTGCCACCGTACTAGATCCTACTTGGGTATTTGCTAAAGTGCCTGAATTTTGTTCATTACTCACAGGTATCGACATACTTACAGTTGTCGATACTACAGGTGTATTCCCATTATGACTTTGCCCCCCAGTATTTGATGAGTGTGACCCATTTAATCCCTCGGTGTTACTCTGGTTACTTGATGAACTCTGACTCATGACTCTCCCACTCCTTAATCTCATACGCTCTCGAACTAACCAATTTTGTGTTTCTCAACACAAGACCCCTACCTGGTGCGCCAATTTGTTTCTGGTGGAATTTCGATCGATTTCGATTCTAAACAGTGTTATGGTCCTAATCGAAATCCTCCCACGTAAGTTCTTTTTACTTAGGCTAGCAGTCTGACTTTCAATCGAAAACGTGTATGAGAATCGAAAGTTACAGCCTATAAAAATGCTATTTTTTAGTATTTTGTATTTTAAAGTACTAAAAGCAGTAAAACTATCGAATCGAAAAATAGAATGTTAAATTGCAAGGAAATGTAAATTACGAGAACCCCAAGTTTGCAATAATTGTAAATGACAAGGAATCGGAAATGACGGAAATGTAAATGGCAGGAAGTTAAGTTTGCATGAAAAACTAAATGACGGGAAATCGAAACGTGCAGAAAATATAAATAACTGGAAACTTAAACGCAGAAACTTAAATTTTCATTGAATTGAAATGACAAGGAATCGAAAGTACAGAAACATAAAACTGCTGAATTTAAATTGCATCAAAGTAAATTACCAAGAAAAATACAGAAAGCGGTAAATGTACTCAGTGAGCAAGGAAATCCAGATTGCCAGAAGCTTCATGGTGTTCGTCATTTCTCCGGTAGACTTCTACTACTGATTCTGTCTTCTGCCAATTTCTGTCCCCCAGTATTTGATGAGTGTGACCCATTTAATCCCTCGGTGTTACTCTGGTTACTTGATGAACTCTGACTCATGACTCTCCCACTCCTTAATCTCATACGCTCTCGAACTAACCAATTTTGTGTTTCTCAACACAAGATTCCTACCTGGCGCGCCAATTTGTTTCTGGTGGAATTTCGATCGATTTCGATTCTAAACAGTGTTATGGTCCTAATCGAAATCCTCCCACGTAAGTTCTTTTTACTTAGGCTAGCAGTCTGACTTTCAATCGAAAACGTGTATGAGAATCGAAAGTTACAGCCTATAAAAATGTTATTTTTTAGTATTTTGTATTTTAAAGTACTAAAAGCAGTAAAACTATCGAATCGAAAAATAGAATGTTAAATTGCGAGGAAATGTAAATTACGAGAACCCCAAGATTGCAATAATTGTAAATGACAAGGAATCGGAAATGACGGAAATGTAAATGGCAGGAAGTTAAGTTTGCATGAAAAACTAAATGACGGGAAATCGAAACGTGCAGAAAATATAAATAACTGGAAACTTAAACGCAGAAACTTAAATTTTCATTGAATTGAAATGACAAGGAATCGAAAGTACAGAAACATAAAACTGCTGAATTTAAATTGCATCAAAGTAAATTACCAAGGAAAATACAGAAAGCGGTAAATGTACTCAGTGAGCAAAGAAATCCAGATTGCCAGAAGTTTCATGGTGTTCGTTGTTTCTCCGGTAGACTTCTCACTACTGATTCTGTCTTCTGCCAATTTCTGCCCCTCCTGTTCCGTCCTTCTTTGCTCTATTTATAGGACATCGTTCAAGCTTTCCAGGAGCAGTTAACAAGGTTGCTACCACGTTCTACGTGCATATGACAGTTTACCTTCCACGGTCTCCCACGTTCTCACGATCTTCGACTTCCTCCAGGGTTTCGAAACTGCTCTCTATACGTGCGTTTGACTTGTTCTTCTCTTCACGGTTTGGTCAGAATCCCAATGTCCACATTGGCTTTCTTCACTCTCGATTTTGTATTTTCGAGAATTTCGATTTTACTTGTGATTCCTTTTTTACCTAGGTCTCATATAACTTAGTTTTTATTCGATAACAAGCATTTGGTTATCATTCACTCGATTCTCGATTGTGCTTCTCGATGCTACGTACTTCTAATTGGACATCGAATGATTTCTTTTGTCTATCTTACCGATTTATCAATCGATCATATTTCTCGATTCCACAATAACACCAATAACAAAAATTAATACAATAGTGACGAAATAAGTATGTATCCATTGACATGAATGCAAGGAAATAGTGAATTTGACTCTCTTTTTTGTATTTATGGTATTGAATTAAATAAAATTTAATTATAATAATTGATTTGTAAAAAAAAATTAATGCAGATTAATATCTTATCAGAATAGTAAAATGGAGATGATGATGGTTAGTTGTGGATGAGATTTTATGATTTTGCATACTCTCTTGCTGCAATTATGTTTATAGGGTTAGAGTAGAGACAGATACAACATCGTCCACGGACAGATTATTTGTTGTGTTGTCCTTTCGTTTGTTTATTTAGGTTAGGATGTAAAAATACTAATATTTTAATAGTTTGTTGTTTGTGTTAGTATCGTAATATAAGAGCACGTGGAAGCAGATTTTCATTTGGTTTTTGTTCAGTTAAATCTGTTGATAGTTTAATGCGTCAGATCTGCCATTGACGCAGCTTCGGAGGCCTTTGTCTGATTTCCGCTTTCTTTGGTTTTCACTTTTCATGGGACTGAGTCGAACTACAAGACATAACCCTGTTCTTCCAACCAAATCTCCAATTCTTACTCTCACACGTTCTCGTTCTCAAACCATGAAGTGAGTATTTTAACTTTTGTTCTCTCTCGAATAGAGTCGATAAGACTGTTTCAGTTAACTGTGCTCACAATCTGGTGTTTGGAAAATCATTTTTTATGAGCTGTTTATGTAATGAAGGAAACAAAGAAAAGGGAATGCAATGAATATGTGGTTTGAGGATATTCTCTTTTTGAAGCTGTCTCTAATTATTTGGCACATTTATTCTTCCCTCCTTTTCGCCTTTGTGTTGAAATCTGCATAAGCTTTAGCTTTTAACTTGAATCTGATTCGGACAAGTATTGAATTGAAGTATGTGTACGTCACAAGACTCCTTTCCACTTGTCGTAGTAAGTAGTTTGCGAGTAGTAAATATGTTTGCTCAATTCAAATTCATTTCTAAAAGGACTCAACTTTTCAGTGACATTGGAAATTTAGGGATCATTTTGTGGCCTATGGCTCCTGCTGCACAGAATAGCATAAGATTGTTTAGGTTTATGGCGATAGTTGATAATAATTATTCACAACTAGGACCAAACATTGTATTGCTGTAATTTCTAACTGAAATATAGGGATTTCTAAGCTAGGTTCTCCTGCGGGACAATGACATGCTTTGTATCTATTTATTTGCTTCAGAACTGTCTGCGTTTTTCCCATTACGAATCTTCCATGATTTAGATGAACTACATGCATCCTCTATAAAGTTGGCCATTTCACTTTTGGATTTCTGAAATCTAGTTCTATATAAACAGTTTATGTTTTTAACTCAGATTGATGCTGTTGTATTATATGACTAGAACTGAAACTCTTCATGGATTATAGTTTATATACTATTTTTGGAAAACTAGGAAGAACTGAATTTGCGATCTTTCGTGTTTGGGTATCAATTATAGTCAAACCTAGTTTTGAGGCGCTTACACTCAGAGTATTAATATATAGATGGACCTTGGAAATTTGTTTTATTGTGCTACACTTAACATAACTCTAGATAGAATTAACGGCAAATTAAGCTTTGTTTGAAGTGAAATTTCTTATAAATCTGGGATATTCATTTTTGTACCAATATTCCTTGACAGATTTCTTTTGACCTGAAACACAATGCTTTTATTAGACTGCAAGGTAGAAGCACCAATCTTAATGGTATTCTGCTCTTAAAACAGGCACAATTTTCTTTTATTCAAGGTTTTCAAAACCTGATGCAACTAAAAACAGTTAATAACACTAGTTCTTAAACGGCCGATAGATCTCTTGCGAGATGCTCAAGGAAGCACTCTTACATGCATTATCATTCTTAGCACTCTGCTCTAATACAACACACATAATAATTTAGATTTCAGAATTGAATGCATAATTGTTAAAGGTCTTGTTATGTATCATTTGGTTTCATTAAGAAACTTGTAATGGTGTGACATTAAAAAAATGAGACCCTAGAAGCCTACAGTACCTCATTCAAAGATGTTACTCCTGCCTTTATCTGCTTTACTTTCCTTTCCTTTCTGCACCTTAGCTGAAGCAATAAGCTGCAGCTATGGCTTGCTCATCGATTTTTCTTCATTTATATTTTTTTTCACAGAACAACACAGATTTTTGGTGTGTCTCTCTCACTCATTCTTATCAACCTTGCTGCTATTATGGAGCGCGCGGATGAGAACCTTCTTCCATCCGTATACAAAGAAGTTAGTGAAGCATTTAATGCCGGACCATCTGATTTGGGTTACCTCACATTCATAAGAAACTTTGTTCAGGGATTGTCGTCTCCTCTAGCTGGTATACTTGTTATCAACTATGATCGCCCAACGATTCTTGCTATGGGAACTTTCTGCTGGGCGTTATCTACTGCTGCAGTGGGTGTTTGCCACAATTTTCTGCAGGTTGCATTCTGGAGAGCAATAAATGGCTTTGGTTTGGCAATTGTGATTCCAGCACTCCAGTCTTTCATTGCTGATAGCTACATGGATGGAGTGAGAGGAACTGGGTTTGGATTGCTGAGTCTCATTGGCAACTTAGGAGGCATAGGAGGTGGTGTTCTGGCTACTGTCATGGCTGGGAAACAGTTTTGGGGTATACAAGGGTGGCGATGTGCATTCATTTTGATGGCAACTTTGAGTGCATTAATTGGATTCCTTGTTTTACTATACGTAGTTGACCCAAGAAAAAGACTTCCCACCACTCGAGATGCTAGCGAGAGTTCAGACAGGTAATGAAATTTTATGACTTACATCACTCATTTGGCGCTTAGCACAACTTGTAGTACTTCTCGAACTCTTAACTGACGTCTGTGCCGCCAAGTCTGTTATATTGTTTTCATCCTCATGAATAATAACTGACAAATAACTGAATGCTTTGTATCTCTTTTCATTTTTTAATTATTGGTAAATCATGTGTTTCAGCAGGGACGAGTCCATCATCTATAAAGGCAATGCAAGCACAGCATCAATCTGGATGGGCTCTTGGGCAGCCACGAAAGCTGTGATCAAAGTGAAAACATTTCAAGTAATTGTCTTACAGGGCATTATTGGGTCACTGCCGTGGACTGCCATGGTGTTCTTCACAATGTGGTTCGAACTAATTGGTGAGCATGAAGGAATTTTTTGTTCAGATAATGATGCTAATGCAACATAAAAAATTGCAAAACTTGTATATTTCTAACAATTGTACTACAAATCAAGTCGCTTATAGCCTACTCAAATAGTCTGTCTAACTTTTATCTTTTATGAGGTGTGACGATTATAATTTGTCCTACATATGGAGAAAAACTTTTATCGACTTAGTTGACATGATGGATTGATATTGTGCAGGTTTTGATAACAACACTTCAGCAACCCTGCTTAGTTTTTTTGCTATTGGATGTGCCATGGGGTCTTTCATAGGTGGATCAATAGCTGATCAATTATCACAAGTCTACCCTCATTCTGCTCGTATCATGTGCGCACAGTTTAGTGCCTTTATGGGCATTCCGTTCTCATGGTTTCTTCTTAGGGTGATCCCTCAGTCAGTAAGTAGTTTTCTTACCTTTTCTGTGACCCTCTTTATGATGGGTCTAACTATCAGCTGGAATGGTACGGCTGCGAATGCTCCTATGTTTGCTGAGGTAGTCCCTGTCAAACACCGTACCATGATTTACGCATTTGATCGAGCTTTTGAAGGCTCGTTCTCTTCTATAGCGGCTCCGCTAGTAGGGATTCTTTCTGAGAAAATGTTTGGCTATAATTCAAAGTCCGTTGATCCCATCAAAGGATCTTCACCAGAGGCTCTTGCCTTGTCAAAGGGCCTTCTTTCCATGATGGCTGTTCCATTTGGTTTGTGTTGTTTATGCTACACTCCTCTATATTATATATTTAAGCAGGACCGTGAAAATGCTAGAATGCTTGCTGTGAAAGAGGAGGAGATGATGTGAGACTCACTTTTTCAAGAATGGTAGATAATGTTAAAGGAGCCCTCTTATTCCCTGCTAGTGAATTGGGTCCCTATTTAATTGGATTCTAAAAAACGTGCCGTTTTCCCCCGTACAAACGAAAACTTTGAGACCAACTTCCAACAATGACCTCATTTGATTTTAATTTTAAGAATCCAGATTAACCGTGCACTCATGGATCCGTCACGGCGAGGCTTCTTACTGAGGATTGAACTCGTTCTGACTTCTGAGCCATCTCTTATTCTTGAAATGGCATATCTAGCTGAATAATCAGAAATATCAGGAAATTAGGATAATTAGACTCAGGCTCATACATTTATATGTCCAGATCGTACTGTTTTCTACGATTGTACACTGTAAAATACACACAAGTAAATTTGTATGTTTGGTTCAACTACACGGAAGAATCTCAATGCTAATGATTGCATTTTTTTTAATGAATTCAAGTTTGACAATTGAACACTAAAAAAACACTCCTCGAGAAGAAATTCCATCATGTTCAGCCTTACGCTAACTATATTCGGTTAAGAATTGAATGCCAAAGTTAAAAGAACATGAACACTCTCATCTCAATTGGGTGCGTAGACATTTACCTAATGTCATAAATAAGCTACTAGGTACTTGAATCAACTGGCCTTTACATGTTTGAGTGTGGCTACAATCAAAATATCAGTTACATGGAATTTGTTGATTTGATTCTTAGAGGAAAAGGAGAGGGTAAGTTTGAGAGGTGAGAATGCGAGGAAAAGGGGCCGGAATAATCATAAAAAGCTTTAGAAGAGACATTGGGCCCGGCAAAAATAATGAAAGGGAAACAAGATAGTAACATAGACTACAGCTGAACTCATTTTCTACTTGGTCCACTTTAGAATAATACGTCAACATTCAACTAAAGCACAGGTTACAATAATATTCCACTTGTTTGGTTTTAAACAAGCTTGGTGATCTTGGGAACTTGGCCAGTTGCTCCACCAAGAAAAATAACAGAACTGAACGTAAAATCCATTTTTTTTCGATAATTTTACAAACCAAGGGCCTCCAAGCATTAACGACATATTTGAACAGAAACTTGAAGGCATTGAGCAAAGGTCTAAATACAGCGAGGGAAAAAGGTTTGCCCCACGTACCCTCCAGCCATTGCCCTCCTCACATTAGATTCAAACATCTTAGGGTTCTCTCTCAACACAGCGGCGGCATCATGATTCAGCGGATCCTCGTAATTTGGTTCCTACACACCAGATAGAAGAATAGATTATTCTCAAAATTCAAAGAGGAAAAAACCCCGAAGCTTAAAAGCCCGAAGTCATACCGTGAAGAGATGATACAAGCCATAGATTACAGTATTTATGTTAAGGACAGGTTTCCAATCTTCTCGTAGGATGTTGAGGCAAACATTTCCTTCCAAGTCAATATTTGGATGATATACCTGCATATTCGAGATAATGCAACAAATAAAGTCATGATGTTGAAACAGAAACGTTTACCAAAACTAAAAGTAAATGTGTACTGCTGTGTACTTTTACAAAGCACGAATTATAGTAAAAATGATAATCATCCTACCTTTGTCTTGCACTTAACCTTTGGTGCTTCATGTGGATAGATGGGAGACACTTGAAAGGAAAACAAAAATGTGCCACCTCTGAAACAACAAACAAAATGTAGTGGAGAGATTAGTGAGTTTTTTCTCAAAACTTTTCTTCAACTTGTAGGCATGGGTAAAGATCTTGCCAGATTGAAAAATTTATTTAGCATTTAAAGAAAAACATACAATGAACAAAACACATGGGCTTGAGTTCCTTCACCAAGACTCAATGAAAGTTTGAGCACAAAGTTGAAAATTGTATGAAATTTCCTTACAAGTAATATCCATCATCAGGTCGAATTGAAACTTCAAAGTTCATCAGGTCATCTTTTCCATTTGGGAATTGTATGGTACAAGATTTTGGTAGATTCAGCTCACTTATATCTGAAAGATGTAATATAAAACCATTACGACAACTTGTATAACAAAAAAAAAAAAATGGCAGAAACTACAGACTCAGGAAATATTTAATACAAGAAGTCCCGGAGTAGTAACTAAAACACTAAAGCTAGAGAAATGCAATCATCGTTTAACTAGTAAACTCAAATTCTTGCAGGATAGCAGCCCATAAATCTACAGAAGACTATGTCAATATTAACTATCATGCTGACTAATGATCAGATAAGATTTTTGTTTATACCATGGTAAATAATTTCGTAGTTATGGAAACTATGGAGACTGAATTCAAAAATTTCAAGATAAAAGCATTTCTCATTCAAATATACAGTTGAAGACATAACCACTCTAGAAACATGATGATGTGATCATGACCTATGATAAGGGCTAGAACAAAGGAAGCAAATGAAGCTCTTCAACAAGTATTGTTGGTTGACCAAATTGTGTTTTGGATTAATCAATTAATGGACTTTAGTTTGGTTTTATTACAAGTTATAATAAAGGCCCAATTGAAAATTTAGTTATTGGGAGATCAAGAGGGTGTATTGCTGATTGACTTTTGGTTGCCACAATTTCAATTACAATCAGACATTAAGTAGTTTTCAATTCCTAGGTTAATAAATCATTATTAGCATTTATTTTCCTTTAAGTGAATCTTTGTAACTTTATAAGCTGAACTATTTTTATTAAAAATAACAAGTTGAGTTTTATTTTTTGAAATATTAGAGTTTATCTTTTTTATCTTGAGTAATTCAAGAACTCTTGGCTGTATCAAAGGACTTTCACATCCTTTGTAAGTTGTCTTCCTTAGAAAGAGTGATTATTTCCTTCCACCTTATCACTAAATTCCTAAATTTCCTACAAGGTTTTAACCTTAAAGATCCTAAATCATCCCTTGTGATTCACATCAATTGGTATTCAGAGCCCCGATTTAAAGGTTTGAACATCATTGATGGCAAAGGAGGATAAAAAGAAAATGAGAGAAAATTTTCTTCAAGAAAAGAGAGAAAAAAAAAAGTTAATGAAACACTTGAGAAGAAAAAGAATGATTAAAAGAAGAGTGAAATACTTGAAGCGAGGGAGAGCTATTTAGCCATAAAAAGTGAGTATAATGTTAGTTCTACATTCAATTTATCAGACTTATCTTTCTTTTTATGTAGACGACGAATCCGATTTGAGGACAAATCTTTTTCAAGAGGGAGAGAATGATGTAAAAATGACCTATGATAAAGGCTAGAGCAAGGAAAGCAAATGAAGTTCTTCAACAAGTATTGTTGGTTGACCAAATTGTGTTTTGGATTAATCAATTAATGGGCTTTAGTTTGGTTTTATTACAAATTGTAATAAGGGTCCAATTGGAAATTTAGTTATTATTCTTTGGGAGACCAAGAGGGTACATAGCTGATTAATTTTTTGTTGCCACAATTTCAATTACAATCAGACATTAAATAGTTTTCAATTCCTAGGTTAATAAATCATTATTAGCATTTATTTTCCTTTAGTGAATCTTTGTAACTCTGATGGCAAAATTTTTTTATAAGCTGAACCATTTTTATCAGAAATAATAAGTTAGAGTTTTATTTTTAGAAATATTAGAATTTATCTCTTTTATCTTAGTGAGAGTGATTCTCCTAAGTTCTTGAGTGATCCAAGAACCTTTGGCTGTATCAAAGGACTTTCACATCCTTTGTGAGTTGTCTTCCTTAAAAAGAGTGATTATTTCCTTCCACCTTATCACTAAATTCCTAAATTTTCTACAAGATTCTAACCTTAAAGATCCTAAATCACCCCTTGTGATTCACATTACATGGAAAAAATATAAGTAAACACTGCCTTCTTCTCAGTCAGTCCCACAAAAAAAAGGGTAAATTACATAGTTATTAAAACTACCAGACCAACCGGCTCGACCATTTTCAACCTAACACACAAAAATCAATTAATTAAACATTGCCTTCTCAGTCCTACACAAAAAATAGGTTAATAAACCACCCCAATCAACCAGTTCGACTGTAAAACCAGTCACTGTCCTTAAATAGCTATAAAACTACTCTAAAATTAAACAGGCATAACCAGTCAAACACCGCTCAGACCAGTAATAACCAACTCGTTTTACAAGCTTAAAACTGATTTAGTGGACGCCATGCGATTGTACATCATCCCCATCTGCTGTGTTTGGAAACAGCCATCTTTTTTATATAAGAAGTGCCTTTCACCATGACACAGCCAACGTAGGACTCAAAGTTAAGTGGGGTAAATATTTTTAAACACAATGCCTGATTCCGGTACCTTCAATCCCAAACAAGGCAGGACCAACGTTTTTGGGCAAGGTGCAGTAACACTTTGACAATGTCATACCTATGTGAGCTATCTCACAATAACACTTTGCATGTTAAAACAATCTTACACATTTTCAGTCAAAGGCAATTTGACAGAACCATATAATCCAAGGAACTCATTGATTTACAATAGAATAAAATTGTATAAGAAATTGTTATGAAACAACATACTGATTCATATTAACCTTTAGAAAGTTTTTTTTTTTAAGTATTAACTTAATTATCAACAATTATATAACATGTTCGACTGGATGCCTATTGGTTTAGTTTATATATCTTAATAATATAATATAACCAGTTTAATAAGTATTAGGTTTTATTTCTTTTTAATGTACTGATTCAACTTAATACACTTAAAAATATTAGTATTAGTTTAATTTAATACAAAAATATTTTTAAATATACATAAATTTGTGTTATGAAATGAATATTATGTTATCATTTTCATATCTTATATTAAAATTTGTAAAAATAGTATTTAATTGTTACAGGTTCAACCATGGTTAGACTATTAAACCCTGAACTAGTCTTGTTATTAACTCAATGACTACTAGCCCCATTTTCAAAATATTGGTTAATTTACTTAAAAACTATTATAGCATGAATTTGCTAAAATTTCTTTTGATATTTGGTTTTTCAGTTTTATTAGTTAATATACTGAAATACTTGAGATCCTACTGTATATTTTCACAAAATCACGCCACCCTTACAAATGCATTTTTACCAGACGCTGACTACAAAAGTCAAGGTTTATTCTTCTCTCTTCTATACCACATTTCTTTTCTAGGGCCTCAAGCTCAAAAAGAGTAGAACAACTTTAATCGACATGTATTATAACATGCCTTGTTTTATATTATAGTTTTAGTGGAAGAAAAGAATATAAACTATAGTTGGAGACAGTAGGCAAAAGTGTAGATTCTAACACACTCCCTAAGCCAGAATCAAGAAGAAAGTAGCATAAAAATCATCTTGCAAAACAAATTTGGACTTTACAACATGAAACGAGTTATATGATATTCAATATGAAGCAATTTTCCCTTCCAAATTTAAATCAGTTTGTTAGATCAGAAACAAAATAACTAAATCTAGACAATTATTTCTGCAGATTACTCTTTTGATTTTCAACCTATATCAACTCAGAATCCCAAGTAACTGAATAAAGAAAGCAGGAAATCTTATATTTGTTATGAAATAAATCCATTCATGTAATCTATATGCGAGTTCAGTCTTCTTCCCAGCCTCTCCATCATGACTCAAGACAAGGCCCCAGCAAAATTCCTGCTCATTCAACGTCAAGTTACACGAGCAGTTTAACATTGAAGTTTTTATTGCTCACAATATCTAATGTCCGATCAAGGTGTAACATATAAGTATTAGACCATTTCATTTTCTCTTGCACTCTCCATTTATTGTTTTGAAATTTTGGAATGCCACACAAATTGGGTAAAGTAAAGCATACAAGAGACACTCCAATTAGGAAAAAGAAGAAAAACCTTTGTGAAGACGCAACTCGCCAGCACTTTGCTTCTTAACCGGTGGTCCACTACTTGCATTTTCTGCAAGTTCTCTCTGCTTTTCCTTTACTTTAAAAAGTTTAATCATAATCCTACAGGAACGATGCCAGCTCCAGTATTAGATCACATTATGTCACAGCTTATGAAATTATACAAGAGGAACAAGATCAAGAAGTTCACCCAAAAAGAACAACAAGCAGGTAAATTTAATAAAATAAGTAAAAATAATAAAGCCAATCAGGTTCTTGCAATGCCTCAGAAATCCAATGAAGACCAAAGAAGGATACCATATCATCATTCCCATTCTGAAACCTTTAGCCTTAAGCACACAACCATTTATGTTAAAATGATAAATCAAGTATATTCATACAAACAGCAGCTTTCCCTAACAACCTTCTCCTTGAACAGCAATAAAACATTCACAAGCTTTCTCAACGAATCCAAACAGCTTGAATCTTAAAGAACAAAACACGATCATATTGTTAGAATAACATATCCAAGATAAAAAAAAAAAAAAAGCATATTGAGCTACTCATATTGATAGATGATCAAAAGGTCCGGTTAAAGAGAAACTATCCTGGTCCATCACAGAACACTGCGATCTAGTAAATCAATTACGAGAGAATAAAATAACTGTGTCCGATAATTCTTTAAAAAAATACAGAATCCAATACAATATCAATTGAAGGTCCGGTTAAATCATGAATTACTTGAGGTAATTAAAACCCTAAGGCAAAGGGATCCAAAAATCAGAGATAAAGATAATAAGAAAATGGATAAAATAGAAAAATAGTCAAAAGAAGGAGAAGAAGAATAAGTAAAAGGAATCAGATTTACGAGAAAAAAGGAACCTGGTTGAAAAGAAGACACTGAGACCGATGAGATGATATACAGTTGCGGAGTTTTCTCAACTCAGCTCCACCCTCTGCAAAATCTGAGTAGTAACCTTTCTAACTCTTATTTTCCCTTTGTTCCCAAAACGCCTCTACAATCATTAATTTTTTTTTTCTTATGCATTTTTTTTTTAACGATATGTTGCTTTATCTACACGCTAAAACTATCCTTATTTTATTCATTATTACCATGAGCTTTTTTTTTATGTATATTTATTATAAATTTGAGTAATATATATTAGATATACAATTAAAAAATATTAAACACTGTTATTGAAAATCAGTATTCTAAATAAATATAAATATATATATATAATCTTACGTCACGTTTTATGTTAATTTAAACACTGTTATTGAAAATCAGTATTCTAAATAAATATAAATATATATATAATCTTACGTCACGTTTTATGTTAATTTATATATGTCGTTTCACATAAAAGGCTGCTAATACAAATAATGTCAGGTTAAATACAGATTTGTACTTTTTAAAATCTATTTAAAAAAAAACAATTAATAAAATGTTTTACAGAAATCAAACAATAACAAAGAGTTCATAAGATTTTTTGTATATTAGTTTCTCTAAATTATTAAAACTACGTCTAGTTTATTTATTATTATAATTTTAAAATATATAAAAAATATTTTGATTAAATTCAAACTCATATATTTTTAAATTATAATTGAGATACTTACATTTGTTTTAAAATATTTATTTTTTATTATTATTTTTTGGATTATTATCCGTATTATAAGTAAAAAAAATTCATTGTCTTAAAATCTTATTGTGAGACATGACATAGAATGAAGGGCAAAACTAGTTGTGAAGGACAATGTAAGTTTTTTTTGAATAAATTTGTCAATAGAGCATTTCAGTCTTATCCGCTTTTGTTGTTAAAAACAAATCTTAAATGTTTTTCTCACATCTCACACCACCGACATTCACACCACCGAGAGTCTCTTTCTTAAGTTTTCAGAGTTATCATTCCTTGCATGTTTGATATTAACATGTCAACTTAAATCATATTGTTTGATTAGGAGCAGAAGGAGAGACACCAAGAAGAACCATAGTCTTCTCCATAAAATTTAACAATCTTTAAATTTTGTATACAAAAAAAATATATTTTATGTTTCTATGGAAAAATAAATACAAAAATAGATGTTCATTCCTTTATCTCAACTATCTAATTTCATTCACCCATACTATTGATAACTATCAAGATAATGTTTTTAAAAAAATATATTTTTTTCTTTAAAGTTAAAATGTATCGTGTGTATTTCTCTCTGTATAGAATATTTGCGCAAGACCTGTTTCACAAAAAAGAAAAAATCAATTCTTTATAAAAAAAAATATCACTACTTTCATTTAAGTATCTCGTACTCATTCACGTTCAATATTAAAATCAAACAACTGAATAATTTTTTAATATTCATAATAGGTTAAAATAATTTATTTAAAAATATCAAATAAATATAATAATTAAATTTTACAAAAAAAATAAATCTAAAAAATATATAATAATTAATTACATTATTTTAACATACTATTTATAAATAAAATCAATAGATTATTCGTTTAGAAACACAAAACATATTGTGGTTATGTTTAATAAGCATTGAATACAATAGATATTCTATAAAAATCTTAGTGTGAATTTATTAGGAACCAAACTAATGCTTACACTTTTCATTATAATACATTTTTTTTTCATTTACCATTTATTGTTGATACATATATGAATAACATGTTATAAGTTTTTTATCTGAAAAAGATAAATTTTATTTAACAATATTTTCAATTAATTTAAAAAATCATATAAAATACCCTTTTAGATATTTAGGAACAAGTATTTTTAAGTTATTTATTTTTCCCTCGCATCAAAAATCCTTAATTTACAAATGAAGTATTAAGTAGAAAAAAAAGGTTTACAATCAATTTTTAACATATATTTATTTAACAACTTTATTCAATAATATAAAAGTAATTTTAAATTATTTTTATTCTTATAAAATATTTTTATAATTATTATATTAATAAACTGATTTATATGTTGATGTTGTCTTCCTGTGTTGTTCATGTATCCAAAAATGTCAATTCAATATAGTTCATATTTATATATATATATATATATATATATATATATATATATATATATATAAAATAATGACATATTCATTTATCTATTAAGAGAAATATTATGAAGATTTTACAGGAAGAAGATTTAAAATTAGTCATATTTAAAAATAAAATAAAAACCGAGTTTGAATTAAATAAACTAATAAATAATGTATTTTGATAATATATCTGTTAGAAGGAATCAAGATTAAATAAATAAAATAAATGAATCTAAAAAATGAAGAGATGTATTTTCATATGGTGCAGTATCTCATATTTATATTTATAAAGAATAAAATAAATATGCAGAACATTTAATTAGTGAAAAATAATTATTTAATAACTTTTTTTCCATGTTAGTAATATCATTCAACAACTTATTTTAATATTTATTGTTATTATATTATTACTTTTTAATAAAAATGAAAGTATACATATATTATACAACTTTACTAATTTGGGTTTAAAAGAGGATATTTATTATAAAGTTTACAGAGTTTAGGCTGATTTGATTGGTTGTTATTTTTATCAACCTTTTGTAGAAAAAATATTTTTTTAGGATTTAATGGTTGCTGAGTGGTGAGATAATGTTTTTTATTTAATATAAATTTATAGATAAAGTAATTATGATGTAAACAAATTAAAAAAAAATCAAATTGGAAGTGTAATAAAAATTGAAAAAAAAAAAATTAACCTGATTGAAACACTAGGTTGACAGTATTGGTTCAGTATGAGCCAGTATGACAGCTATATCCAAATACATGCATTGGTTGAAACAGGGTGAACGACGTTGTTTTCGTCTTTTTATAGATAATATGGACCACGCAGAGTAGGATAGTGACAAAGTTGTAGAACAGAACCCAAAAATGGCGACAGATTCCTTCCTCTGAAAACACAGTGAATGCCACATTCTATCTTTGTCATGTACTTCTGGTATTTGTTCAATTGTGTTACTCTCCCATCCATTAATTTTCTTGTGTTTTCTTTCTTAACAGAAAAATACAATTGAAATTATTCATAACAATTAAGAAAAACTAACATATTCATACCAAACATCTTACTGTTTTATGAATTATTTTATTCCTTTTTTCATCAAATATTTTCTATTAATTTTATCCTTCCTAATTCCTAATCTGTCTAGACCATTCAACCCAAGAAGATGTTAAATATATATTTGTCATAAATAATTGGATATTTAATAGAATATTTGTTTTGCTTAATAGGTAATTTTGATATTCTATTCGAAAATAAGTATATTTATTTCACGCATTTTAAAAAAAATGTAATTTGGCCAAATTGGAAATTCTAGGAATGTTTTACTTTTTATTTTAATTCAATTGGATTGTATACTTAACATTTACATTCAAGATATTACAGAACAGATATAATTGAGAATTAGGCTTTTTTATATATAAAAAAAGAAGACTAAATATTTTTATTTGAAAAAAAATTGCAGAATGTTTTTTAGTGCAATTATTTATATTAAGAAAGTAAAATGAAACACAATAATAATTATTTTTTAAAAGAATATAAGGTATTAATTTTAAATTAAATATTAAATGAATCATATTAAACGCTTTAAACAATGCATAAAATATGTGAATAAAGAAAAGAAAACTATTCATGCATATTAAATTTTTAAATCATTTTTGTATTAATCACTATTAATTATTAATTAAAGAGATACATAAATCAATTAAAGCATATAAATAAATTCATTAAAAACAGTGAATTTGTGTTTAAAGATTTATTTTTATATTAAACATTGTGTCTCATATATCTGTAAATTATTCGCTCAATTAAACTTTTATTTTAAGAAAACAATTTTATAACTCTTAATTCAAAATACGTTTTCCACATATTAATTTTATTGCTTATATTTTAAAGTTAATGAAATAAAAATATATATAGAATAAACATAGTACTTATTAGTTTAAATATATGTATTATTAAAGTAAAATATTGTCCAAACACAAACCTTCATTTTATATTCGACAATAGTTTTCTATTAATAGTATATATGAAAAAAAAAGTGGTTCCTGTGGACAATGGCAGTGTTTGAAATCTCCATAAAACATAATTGACTATATTTTTAAACGTCCTTGCCCAAAGTTAACCGCCATATTTGCTTGAGTGATTTAAATATTCTATCTTTATGACATTTTATTTTTTTTGTAATCTTTATTTTTTAATTTTTCCATTAACATGGTTTACATAGGTCATAAAGTTGACAGCAAAAGACTACGACGACGATTTCATGAATCATTATTTTCCCTAACAAAACATTTTGACATATATATATATATATATATATATATATATATATATATATATATATATATATATAGTTATCATATTCTAAAAATCTTTTATTTAAATAAATTCTAACATATTCATTTAAGATATTATTAATATTTTTAAATGACCAGATATATCTATTTTAAATTGAAGAAATTGAAATTGTAAGTTAATCAAATAGGAAAAAAATTATATTTAAGTAAATATTAAGAAAGAAGAATAAAATACAGTAGTATTCATTAATTAATTTAAAGCAATAAAATATTTAATTTAAATCAATATTAAATGTGATACTGAATACATTAAATATATTATTTTTTCATTAAAGTAACTAAACTTGATTATAAGTGTTTTAAGAATAAAATATATTATTTTAATTTATATAAATCACTCTAACTGTGACTTTTATTGTATATAAGAACTATCCTGAACAACTATTTCAGGTAATGCTCTCAAGGTGACGTAAAGAAACATAAATGTAAAAAACCAAATATTTAACCTAAATTAGTTGTGATATTTATTTGAAAATGTTTAAAATAAATCCCTCATAATAATGTATGTAATAATGTAAAAAATTACAGTATCATCTAATCACAATCCTTTTAAATACTGGATTTATTAAATTTGTTAGTTACTAATAGTTTTTTATTAATTAACAGTATAAAAAGATATTGATAATGTGTATGTAATAAGCTCTTATTTTAATAAAAAAAATACAGTAAAATGATAATGGTGATTGTCACATACATTCACAATATGTTTAGAAATACTTATAATTGATTAGATTTCAAGTTTATCCTGAAGTTAATTACCAATAATAAACCAAATTGTGTACAAATACACTAACTATGATTTGTGGATGCAGTTATAATCACACTCATTGTTTGCCGAAGGAGACTTATCTCAATTTTTCTGATACCAAAACAGTATTTGTCAATTAACCATCTTTTTTATTTTTTATTTTCAGAAATACATTGATAGCAGAATGTGTTGAGTCCCAAACTCTGTATAAATAATGAGGCCAACCACACCGCACCGCACCCATTCCCATATCTCGCACCAAACATGGTTTCTCCTTATGCTTGTCTTAATTCCTCTGTTCTCAACACACCTTCACCACTCTTTCTCACTCCCCTTTTCCACACTCACACAACACTTCCCAATACCGTCAAACCACCACCACCGTCAAAACTATCCTCTTCTTCTTTTCACTCTCTCTCAGTTTCTGCTCTGCCCACTAAGGTAGACACCACGGTGAGGATCGAGGAAATCGAAGATGCCCCAAAATTCGATTTCAAGGTCTACATGCTCCGCAAGGCCCACACAGTGAACCAAGCCTTGGATGCAGCCATTGCGCTGCGCGACCCGGAGAAGATCCACAAAGCCATGCGCTACTCCCTCCTTGCCGGCGGCAAGAGGGTCCGGCCTATCCTCTGCATCGCCGCCTGCGAGCTTGTTGGCGGCGACGAGGCCACCGCCATCCCGGCTGCCTGTGCCGTCGAGATGATCCACACCATGTCGCTCATCCACGATGATCTGCCATGCATGGACAACGACGACCTCCGCCGGGGCAAGCCCACCAACCACAAGGTCTTTGGCGAGGACGTGGCTATCCTTGCCGGTGACGCGCTGCTCGCCTTTGCATTCGAACACGTAGCGGCGGCAACTGAGGAAGTGTCCCCGACCCGCGTGGTTCGGGCAATCGGGGAGTTGGCGAAATCAATAGGTGGGGATGGCCTTGTGGCTGGACAGGTGGTGGATTTAGATTCTGAAGGAGTATCGAGTGTGGGGTTGGAGAGGTTGGAATATATTCATGTGCACAAAACGGCGGCGTTGCTGGAAGCTGCGGTTGTGTTGGGGGCAATAGTTGGAGGTGGGTCGGATGAGGAGATTGAGAAACTAAGGAAATTTGCCAGGTGTATCGGGCTGTTGTTTCAGGTTGTTGATGACATCCTGGATGTTACAAAGTCATCAGAGGAGTTGGGGAAGACGGCGGGGAAGGACTTGGTGGCTGATAAGGTCACCTACCCTAAACTTTTAGGGTTACATAAGTCTAAGGAGTTTGCTGATAAATTGCTCCAAGAGGCAAATGAACAATTGCTTGGGTTTGATCCCCGAAAGGCTGCTCCTTTATTTGCCTTAACCAATTACATTGCTCATAGGCAAAATTAATTAGGAAAATTCTCCATCTTTATGAATAGAAGAGATAGTTTTTATGAAATCCATAGTTGTTTCTTAAGTTCTGTTGTAAGTTTCTTTCAGTTTTTATGAATATGTGTATTTTATTAATAAATAAAGAGAAGAGGATTTTAAAATTATCAATAATAAAGATAATTTTGATCTATTAATAGCATATTTGAAAAAAAATCAATTAAATTAATTAGTAGAGTAGTTTAGTTTAGTTGAGTGCGAAAAAGTATCTGAAAACCTTGGATACCCATTTTTGTCCCTGGGTATGAGTCAAATAGTTTGTAAGGAGTAGTGTGCAGCGAGGGAATTTGTAATGAATAAATGTCATCTTTATAGTAATCTACGCTTGGCTCTTTCTGGGAACTGTTTTGGGAATTTTTGATAGGATCTACTTTCGGTTCTCTCTCTTCTTTTTGGGTAACATGCAAACATTAATTGGGATTGTCTTCAAATTTATGACATCAATTAATTAACCAGTCAGCCCTATATTATACTCTCTCCGTTTAAAAACTCTTTTACAAATCCAAACATAGAACTATAAATCATACAATCCTTTAAAAATTCATTTTTATTAATATAATAATTTACAGAATGATTTAATAAAAATAAAAATAAATTAAAATTATTATTATAATATTAAAATAAAATAATTTACAGAATGATTTAATAAATATAAAAATAAATTAAAACTATTATTATAATATTAAAAAAGTTGTTTATAGGAGTTGTATGGATTTGGGTTGTAAAAGTATCATTTTCCTCCAATATAATAGTTAAATTGTGTTGATGAGTGTCCACAAGTATAGTTTTTAAGCTAAGGAAATATGATAATTTTTAAGTAAATTTATAAATTATATTTGAAAAAGTATGAAATAATTTTATTAACTATATTATATTTCTAAATTATTAGCTATGTCAATGACATTATTGACCCTCATTTTGCTAATAAATGTATATATAGAACATTAATCAATTATAGATAAATTAAAATCACATACCTTTAAATAATTTAAAAGAAATCATCTACAATAATAAAACAAATATATTATGAAATGTTAATCTCGTTAATTGATTTGAAAATTAAATTAAATTTAAATAAGGATGATAAAAAAAATATTTTACTAAAAATGAAATAAATATCACTATAAAATGTTACTCAGCCTATTTAATAGATGGTGTTGCCCATTGTGCAATGGTAGAAGGAAAAGTCGTTTTTATAAAAAGAAAAGGTGAAAGTAAATTGGCAATAGATTCACAGTGAGTTGGTGACAATTACAATTCTTCAATTCAGTAATTTGATCGAAATTTCCTAAGCATAGTTGTTATCAATTTCATCAGTTCCGTGAATAATTCCATCTTAAATCAAATATAACTAAACAAGTTATATTTAATAAATTTAAAAATATACAAAATTCAAAATGATATTCTCGCCTTCAAGTTTTAGTACAATTTTGAAAAAATATAACTAAAGACAATTTTGAATTTTGATATGAAATTCAAAATTAACTAATAATTTTAATTATGATGAAATTATATATTTATCCCCTTTTATCATTATTTTGAAAATTAGATCACATCAACTAGTTTAATTGATTTGAAAAATTATATTATTTTTAAATAACTAAATTTTAATTAATTTAAAAAATCCAAAAAATATAATTAAAGTTTTTAGTAAAATAAAACAGATAACTTTTTAATATAATTTTTTTATAAAAGATATAATAAATTTTAATTTTTTTCTCATATTAATTTTAAATAATAATTATTTTATTATTTTTATCTTATTTTAATTGTTATCTATCTTATATTATTTAATATATTTTATATTTATAATTTTTATTATTTTATAAAACAAAATTTATAATATTAAATTTATTATATAATATAAATATTATTTTATGAGTTGAATTAGGTTGAACTTTTATATTTTTTGTTATTTTAATAATTTAATTTAATATACTCTTAATTTGAATTTGATTAAATTGAATTGTATTAAATTAATTAGAAAATATCATTTTTTAATTTTAAATATATATTCTTATATTTTAAAATATTGACAAAATAATTATTATTTGAATAATTTAATATTTAAAAATACACATTAAATTAATATAATATTAAATAAATAAAATAATAATGTTAATATTATTATTAAAATTATTTTATAATTTTGATATGAGATATACCTTGATCCTACAAATTCTATCACGTAACCCAGGACACAGGAAAGACTCCACAGAATCAAAATACATATTAATATCATGCATGACTACTTTATTGGATTTGTTTCTGCATTCAAATCAAACTACGTATCTTTCTCCTTTTATCGTCTTTCCCACGCTAGTTTGGCAACGGTTCTGTTGATTAATGTAACGTATTATTCAAATATAATATACATTTAAAAAATATATATATATATTAAATAAAATATAAAAAAATTGACATTTACTTATATTTTATGTTATATAACAGTACTTTTGCATATATTAAAATTCCCGAGTGGGTAATTGTGATTGTTTTTGAGTTGCAATTTTTTTTCTACTTAATGAAAATAATAAACATATAATAATCAAAGAACATATTTAAATATGGATCAACAACCTTCTCTGAAGACGCTTCATAAGGTAAAAACAATTTCTCCTAGTTTTAGCACCTTATCTGAATTTCATTACATTCCGCGAGACACATACAGTCTCTCTCCGCAAAAAAATAGTGGTTAACATTTTATTTTTTCTAAGTGGTCCTGCTTCATTTTTCTTCTTAAAATATTGTTTAATGTTCTCCGGTAATGATTTTTTTTAATGTTCAATCACATCATTAAACAAAAGCATATAATTAAATTAATGTATACAATTTGAGGATAAAACTAAATTTTATAAAATAAAAAATAAAAAATTGGATTAGACCAAAATATATATATATATATATATATATATATATATATATAATTTGAAAATGATAACATAATATATTTTATAATGATAGTTTTTGGACCTATCAAATTAGGAAGTTACTCATTTTCATACCATTACCATATTTCTTACAAATGTTTGTTTTCCATACTTCTACTTACTATGTTGAGTCTTCAATGTTGGAAATTTCATATTAGCTAATAATATTTTGTTTTTTCTCCTCTAATTAGACTATCTCCACAGATGTGAACATTTCTTTGCTTAAATTTGTTAAGATCTATGAAAATCTATTTGCTCACACTGCACAAGAGTGTTTTCAGTGCCTCCCATTGGACTTAGTAAAAGATCACTGGCAAGTCACCACTTCCAAGAACCTTGAAATTTGTTATTTTTTTAAAGTGCATTTAATTTAATTTTGATATCAAGTAACAATCGTATTTTAATTCATGAATGTTTTGTTTGGAATAAGGACTGATACAGAGGAAGTGAAAAATAAATAAATAAATAAAATATGAGATTGTCTAGATTGAGAAAAAATAAAAATTAAAAAATGAGAAGAAGATAAAATTGATATGATTAAATAAAAAATTTGAAATAAAATATATAATGATCAGATTATTTCTGTATTAATAAAAGATAAAATATGTATAAATTAGGATGTGATATTATTTAATATAAATAATTAATTTATATTATATATAAAATATTGAGATGATAATAAATTTTTTATATAAAATATAATTATTTTAGGATATTTTACACTATTTTTAAAAAATTTTGAAATTTAAAAAAAGAGTGAAAAGTGAAAAAATGAAAAAATATTTATAATTAATTTTGTTGATTTAAAATAATAAATAAATATATATTAATAAAGTAATTTATTGAATTTACTAAAATATTCTTACTTAAAATTTAATAAAAATAAAAATAATTTATTTTATAAAAAATAATTTATTTTAAAGTAATTAATTTTAAAAAATAAACTTATTAATTAAAAATGATATATAAAAATTTATTTTAAGTACTCATTAAAAAATTAAAATATAAAAAAAGAAATGACAAATAAAATCAATAATATTATTAAAAAATAACTTTGTATTTAAATATAATTTTAATTTTATTATAATAAAAACCTATAAAGTCACGTATAATTATAAATATATATAATAACATTAACTTTTATATTATATATATAATAATAATTTTTTAATATAATCCATTATTTATGTTTATATAAATTATTTATAATTTAGAATCAATTATATAAATTCATGTATTTTTTAAAATTTTATGATCCAGATATTTTATTTATAATATAATTTAATTATTATAAAAATATAATTGTTTGATTATGATTTTTTATATATATGTATAATAATTAACATAAATTTATATTAAAAATAAAAATTTATAATTTAATTCATATTTATTATATTAATTATATGAACAAAAATTAATTATGAATGATAAAATAGAAAGAATTATAATAAAAAATTGATAAAATTTTAATAATGAAAATACTGTTTGCTCGTTCCACTCGATCATCCCTCCATTTCTGCACTATAGATCCAAATAAAATTGATCACACGCGTCTATCTTTTCATTTTCTTGACTAAGTTACTACGTTTGAAGCAAAAACCCGGAAGACTAATCACAAGACAGAAAGTGTTTGAAATACTTTTAAAATTCACACTTTTATATATATATATATATATATATATATATATATATATATATATTATAAATTTATTAATATATAATTTGGTTAGAAAATACTATAACTGATTATTGTACTTTGAATTCCTTAATTATCATTATTATTATGCAATTTGACTACCCATTTCCAATTGGATATATTGGATTTCAAAATTGTTAATTTGAAGGTAAACTTCATGAGACCATAGCCCTTTGCACTTCAGGCCCATCATTTTGATCCAATAATATCAAAATAAAAAACTTAAAAAATCAAAACGATATAATTTTATACAAAAAAAAAATAGTTAAGATATAAAATATTAATAAATACAATTTATTATTTCCTTAATTTTATATAATATCAGCAAAATCAGATACAATTGTAGTCTGTACACTTTATTATTTATAATATATTTTACATAGAAATATCAAATTAGTTTATAACATAAGAAAAGCAAAACTAAGCCTTTGAAATTGTAGCATTATACAAAGAAACATAAAAGAACGATTTTGGTCTACGCTGTACAGGGACGGGTAGAGGACTAAAGGCTAAGAATCTTCTCAGAAGCTTCAAAAAAAAATGACGTAGCAGCTTAGCCCTCAACCCTCTTTTCTGTTGCCAAACCGCTTCTCACCCACTTCTTCCTTGACTTCTTCCATGGTTTGGGAAATCACAAACCTTCACACTTCTCAATTATGTTCATAGTGTCACTTTTGCACAACTTTGACATTCACACACTCAATGCTTCAATTAAAGCTGCAACTCACTTTGGTGTATCATTGTTTTCCCTTAATTGGGATGTCCTATTCCTTTCACTCTTTTGCTTCACTCTGTCACTGTTTTCTCTTTGGGCGGAAACTCAACTGAGAGACACCTAGACCTAATTCCTAAACTTCAACTGAAACCCAGGTACTAAGAACTGCTAACTTGGTCCTATGCGTATGTATACATAAAAATTGCGACTTTAATTCTTCCTATTTTTAGGATTTATATTTTTACATGTATCTATTCAGCGTTCTTTAGGGAGGGTTGTCTTTTGGGTGCTGAATCTTGCCACATTCTGAGCATGTTTTTTGCTTGCATCTCAACGCCAGAATCTAATTGAGCTGTTGAAACCTTATCTTTTTCTAGAATATTGGTAATTAATTGTAAGGAGAGAGGGGAAAGAGGACGTTGATCCTTGTCCATTTGACCATCTAATTTATTTGAATTTGGTTAGGTTTAATCTTTTGTTAGGACTAAAATTGGCTATGGGAGGTCGATCAAGTAAGATACCTAGTAGTAGTGATGTTCCAACACCCATCAAAATGGGTACCTATTCTCTCTATGCGGCTGATTTAAGTTCTTATGAAGCGGCATGTGTTGAAGATCCAAACTTGCAGTCCCTTGATGCTACCATTCAGGAGCGCACCAACAGGGTGATCACCTCACTTGCTAATGGGATTGAAGTTCGTTCCATATCCATTGAGTCACTAGGGGAAGTGACTGGTAGTTTGCTTGAAATGAATCAGGATGTTGCCAAAGTCATTCTAGAATGCAAGCAAGATATATGGAATAAAAAGGACATGGAGTTGTTTTCTTTGGTTGAGGAATTTTTTGAAAATAGCCACCAGACATTGAATTTCTGCAATGCTCTTGATAAATGCTTGAACCGAGCGCGTGAAAGGCATGTTATGGTGAAGTCTGCAATTACTTGTTTTGAGGAAGAGGTGCAAAATGGGGTTGACGGGTCCACTTATTTGAAGACATTGCAAGAGCTTAAGGGTTTCAAGGAAGCCGGGGACCCCTTCACAGAAGAGTTTTATTCCTTGTTTCAATCAGTTTATGAAAAGCAAGCATCAATGCTGAAGAAACTGCAAATCAGAAAGCAAAAGCTTGATAGGAAATTGAAGTCCCTCAAGACACTAAAGAGGGTATCGAATGCCATTTTTGTTGCTGCTTTTGTGTCAGTTTTAATTTTCTCAGTGGTGGCAGCTGCGATTGCTGCGCCACCTGTTGTAACTGCTCTGGCTAGTGCTTTGACTGTTCCTGTAGGCTCAGTGGGGAAATGGTGTAACTCACTTTTTAAGCGATATGAGGCAGCGTTGAAGGGCCAAAGAGAATTAATCAGTTCTATGCAGTTTGGTAGTTACATAACATTGGTTGACTTGAGCAACATTCGGGTGCGCATTGACCAATTGGAAATAAAGATTGAATCCATGTTGCAGAGTGCTGATTTTGCTCTGAGAAATGAGGAGGGTGTAAGGTTTGCGATTGATGAGATTAAGAAGAATATAGACGCTTTTGCAGAGACCATTGAGGCTTTGAGTAAGCAAGCTGATGAATGTAGTCGGCAGATAAGGAGAGCAAGGACAGTGATTCTGAAAAAGATTATTAATTACTCTAGTTGAGAGCCCCTTGCCATCTTTTTTAGCTCCTGCTATGTTGTACTGATTAAACACCAAGAACAACGATATTACTCTGCTTATTATTATCAAAGAAACATACAAATTTTAACATGTGTATAACATTTCTATTCTATTTCTTCACTGTCTAATAATTGCCGATACTCTCCCTAATTGACTCCTTAAGTGATAAATATGAATTTTTTTTCCTAGATGGAAAAAAGTTTCTATGCGATCTGTGATAGGATCCTATTAAAGAACGCATAGAAACTTTTAATATTTATGATTACTTTTAATATATTATTCTTTTATTGATTATACCCTTTTTATATTTTCAATAGTTAGATACACATACATTTATACAGCATATAAATCCTTAGAATATAAAGTATTAAAGCAAAGAAAAATAAAAAAATCAGTCTATCATTGCAAATGCATCTAAATAGTGAAACTGTCAATAAACTATTTCAAATTACGTATGGATTAGCATTATGCCTCTCTTATATGTCATATCTGGTTGTTTTTTCATGTATGTTTATTCCGTAACAAAACTTATCAATAGGATTGGAAGATATCTATATAATTACTTTCATATTGATTGAATATCATGAATCTATAATAAAGAAAATTTGTTATATGTAACTAACAAATTGTATCACTACAAAAATATGCCATATTTGTATTATTTTTATTTTTCTAAATTTTCTGTAAACATTCACATGAAATGAGTTTATAGTAGATTTTCATCTGAGTTTTTGTAAAATTCCATAAAATTTCACACACAAAAACTCACTATGAGAAGTTCTAGTAATGATTTAACCATTCTCTATTCTCTGTATCAGTATAAAGTTTCAGTCCTAGTTTGTTGAAGTGAATGCACATTTGTTTAGTAAATGGTTCTCTCAAAGTGCCAAGCTGGTATGCATATCTGACACTCTGTCATAGATTTGCTTATTGACTTCTCCATTATTCATATTTCACACTCTTATTACACAAGGACAACAATTTTTCTATTGGATTTGACAATAAAGATTTCTTCTTGCCAACTAATATTCTTGAAGCATAAAACTTCATGTATTTATCATTTGTTTCTTATCATATGATATGATATTTTTTATCGATCTAGTTATTAAAGCTCCTACTTACAATATTGCATGAGATTCTTTTTCTGTTATCTTTGATTTACATATTCTGTTATTTATAATATTAGGTTAATTTTGGCTATTATGATATTGAGTGCACAATCACGAGAGAAAATTCCAATATTTTGAATATTATGAATTGTTGGATACCTTTTTTATCCTCAGATGAGAAGAAATCTGTTAGTGGTATAGGATTATGGGATTATGATATAATTTGACTAAGACAGTGTTTGACCAGAAATGTAATGTTATTGTTGCTGGATTTATTTCCTTCATTTAAATGATTTACTTGCTTCTTAATAGAATGTTGCATATTACACAATGTAGCATTGGTTCTGTTGGTTTGTCAGTTGAGGACCTTCATGTTCTTTATCTACCTCAGCAATGACCACGTTGGCATAGTTTTGGATTATTATTGCATTCCTACAACTTGTACTACTTTTTAACATTTTCTTAAGTTCATTGTTGAATTCACACTATAGTCATTGCAATAAACATTTTATGTTGAATTCATTATTATAGAAAATTATCTGCTCAATCCCTAGTAATATGTTAACGTTACCACACTTTTATGGGAATATAATCATGTAAATATATATATATATATATATATATATATATATATATATATATATATATATATATATATTGTCAGTAAAATAATATGTGGAAAATTTTCTTTCCGGCAAGTCCATCTGTAAAATTAATGATGACACGCATGTTCCATTCATAAATTTATACATATACAAAATTTCATCAATAAATATAAAAAAAAAACACTAACGTGAACAAATTTATTTATTGAACTTTATTAGTAATGTTTAAAAAAATGATTTTTTAAATAGTTTGTAATGTTTTTAAAACTGGCAAATTAATAAAAATAATTTAAAATTATTATTATAATATTACAAATAATTGTACATTGAATGTTTGACAAAATGCAATTGTAAAAATAGTTTTTTTCCTAATGTATAAGATATGTGCATACATACATCAACGTTGCATCCTAATGACATTGACAAGAGGATTCACGTTTTTTTTTTTAAGTAAAACTAAATTAACACTAAATATAATAGTAAGACAAAATATAAAAAAGTGAGATAAAAAGTATTTAATTTTTTTTATTATCATATCATTATTTTAATCATTACACTATTTGTATTATTTTTAATATTATACTTCAAGGTATTTTATTCATTAAACTAATTTATTTGGTCAAAATTTGAAGTTTTAAATTTGATTAAAAGTATTTTAAGATGTAACCGTAAAAATACATAAGTCAAAATATAATATTTGAAACTAAAATTATAAATAAAAATTATGCTATAAATAAAAATTTTATGTGACTTAAAATTATATTTTGCTACTTTTTTTTTTCAATTTATATTTACTTTTTTAACTATTTTTTTTACACATATAGCCTTAGTTGTGAAATTAATTTCCAAATAGGCATAATTCTAATTTAACTTTGCAATAATTTTTTTTATTTCATGAAAGAACAATTGTGTGTATAATTTTTTTCATATATAAAAAAAAACTTAGCAATATCCCTCATTTATTCAAATATATTTATAAATATTATTTCAAAAGATATTTAGAATTTCATAATAATATCAATAATTATCTATATATGTAAATATATTATTAATTATAATAATATAAAAAATTATAAAATCTCTTTTTTTTTAAATGAATGCGCAGAAGAATCATTGTAAAAGTTAGACATCTCAAGTATATAAATATAAAATTTAGGCAAACCCTATATTTCTAAGGAAAACATAATTTTTAAAATTAAAAATATCTATGAATCAAAGAAAGTTTTTTTATTTTTTTATTTTAATGTTTAAGATGATGATTAAGACTTATTCACATATGCACTTCTTAAAAATGTGAGATGTAATGTTAATGGAAGAATTAATAACCAATTTTTTTCTTCTATCCCACATATAACTTCTAAGACCCAATATTAAAATTATAAACTTTTCAATGATTCAAATAACTAAATATAACTTTAACCAAAATTTTATGCTTATAGACAATTATCATAAGAGTAAGTTCAACTTCATATAAGTAGAAAAATTATATAAGTAATTTCTCCCAAAATCCTATAAAATTTATCATCTTAATGTCCGTTTGGATTGACGTTATATTTAATAAAAAGAGACATGAATTTACCTTCATAATTCTTGGAATTAGAAGATGGTTCATAGGAATTTTTGAAGTATTTAATAATGCAATCATATAATTGTTGAAACATCTTTTTCAAATAGTTTGTGAAATTGCAACTTCAATTTTAATCATTTCAATATTAATTAAAGAATGACTTAATCAATAAAAATAATATGTTGATGAAATTTACTAGGAAGAATATATATATATATATATATATATATATATATATATATATATATATATATATATATATATATATAATAAGAGGTATAGTAGAAGATAAAAAAATTTAAAATTGTTGACATGTGTCATATAATCTTTGATAAACTTATAACTGTTATGAAAGTTAAAATCTTATCATAAATAGACTTTTATGTTATCATAAATGATTTTTTAGATCATACCAACGTCCATTAATTTATAACCAATATAAATATAAACACGTACGTTATAATAATTAAAAAGATTTTCCATATTGATGATTAAATTTACTCAGATTTGTATATTAAATATGTGATATAAATTAAGATATATTATTATATAATTTTTTTTAGATATATATATATATATATATATATATATATATATTAATACAATAGTAAAGTATAAAAATAAATATATTTAATTATTTATTATAAATAAAATGATTTTGCACTATTAAAATATCAAATAATAATAAAAAAAAGAGTGTAAATCAGAATTAATATATTATTTTCATTTCATTCTCGTATAAACATTCTTTTTAGTTTGATTTTCTTTTTCTCACACTAATCTCAACATTTGAATATATTCCACTGTAGGATTTGAAGATACCTATCCCAGGTCACACCTTTGATGGTTGAAACACACAATTAAGCCAACTTAACAAATAAAAACATGGACAGCAAATTCAATCATCAACATCTTGAAAACTATTATGAAACTATATGACTTTTACACGGTGCAAAAAAAACGTTGCAGATCCATTACCAAGTTTTTTTTTTAATTGCTACAAATTTTTCTCTTTATTTTATGACACTTTTTAAGTATTGGGGTGAAGTGCTTGTTGGTAGATTTTTTGTAGACGTAGGTAGTTAGGATTTTGGGTCCAATCTACACTTATAAACAGAGAACACTTTACACTCTTCCAAAAACACACATCTCTCATATTCTCTTTTCTATATTATCCTAGGTTTATTTACTATGTTAAGAGTTTTTTAATAGTTTTTTTCAACTTTTACAACAATCTGAAGGACTTATAACACTTCAAGAATAAAGTTTGTTCATGTTTTTGTCAGCGTTCGTGTCTTTTAAGGATTTATGGCTGACAATATGGATACCAACAACAACTCCACACAGGAAAAGACAAACAATATTTCTGGAACTCAAACTGTCTTTGTAAAACCGTTCTCAGACGTTTCAAAAATTGAAGTTTTCAATGGACAAAACTAGGAACACATTTCTACTCTCTTAGACATGTACGGAGTGGTTTATGCTCTTACAACTACCAAACTTGACTTCAATACTCCTGCTAAACAAATTGAAGATTGAGTTCATTATGTCGACACATTTTGCTTACTGCATTGTCTAATGATTTGTTCGATGTGTATTATTCCTATATGGAAGCCAAAGATATTTGGGATTCATTGATTCTCAAATACACCGTCGAAGATGTCGTAAGATAAAGGTTCGTTATTGGAAACTACTACTGCT